GAGAGAGAGAGAGAGAGAGAGAGAGAGAGACCCGATGAAGTGCGCGGGGCTCTGTACCTACCTGGTACGCCGTTCACCTACAGGTAGTTCAAGGCCTTTCACAAAAAAATGCACTACCGGTAGGTCGGAATTTTTTGTTGTCCGGGGGAGTGGTGGTTAAGGATGCAAACTGCAAGCATGAGCGCATAACCCACCTTCCCAACAACAAAAACATACTGAGTTTCACAAGGCAGCAAAATCTTCTCATGCCATCTTCCTGTCTTTGACCTTGTAACATTTTGGGTTCCAACAAAAACACAGAGTTTCAAACTTTCAACTGATTTGCACTGAAGCACAACTTATCCACCACATGCCTTACAAGCAGCCGTTTGCATGCAAGAGCACATCCAGCCACGGATGACTGTACTCGTGCTCTCACTATAAGTCACTGAGTACAGGGGCCAGAAACTCGCCAGGGGTGAGTAGTGCAGCGACGAGGCCATAGCATGTAAGCACCTTTCGACTCCAGAATGTAGAGAGCCATCCATACGGCAGAGTGGAGAGAACCTGACTGGGGCTGAATCACGGACTCGAATATACTCCAGAGTGGATGACAGGACGAGGGCCCAATCTGCCGCCCCCCAAGGAAACGATGTTCGATCCAGCCTCGCGGCACTCGAAATGCCCGCTCTCGTGGGCGATCGTTTGATTGTTTGGTCGTGCCCCGGTGCAACGAACACCTGGTCGCAGAGACCGTCACCGGATGGCGCCCATGCTGGAATACCGTGGCCAGCTTTGGCCCCGAAGTCATGCAGGGTTCTCGAGCTGTCGGTCGTCAAGAGTCCATTTCGTGACGGTACTGGTTTGGCCGCAGGCGGCCACGACCGCCAACGTCTGAAGTAGGTAGGAGTGAGGGCGGGGAGGGGGACAGACGGAGAGTGGGACGATGCTTCACTTTCCGGTCAGTCTGGGTGTTGTATGCGACTGTGGCGGTGAAGTTCTTTTCCCTGTTCTCAGTGAGAGGAGGCGTGCGTGCGGGTGATGTGGCGGCATTATTGTGGCGAATGTAATGTATCCATACTTTCCGGTGGAGGGAGGGTTGGAGTCTGAGGCAGCAGGGTCGTCGCCTTACGATGCTGTTGCCACAGAGGTTGAGCGGAACGGAGGCGTGAAGTGGAAGGAAGGGGACGAAGACAATCGGTTGGTAGATCGGCGCCGGGCTGAGGAAGAGGAGGAGGAGGAGGAAGAGGAGGAGGAGGAGGAGGAGCAGGAGGAGGAAAGGACAGGAGGCAAACGAGCTTGGAGCGACGAGGAGAAGGAAGAAGAGGACAGGTCGAGAAGCAGCGGTAGGGGGCGGAGGAGGAGGAGGAGCAGCAGCAGAGGTAGAGGAGGGAGGTTGGCTGGTTCATCTCCATCTCCGATGGAGAACAACAGTGGCAAACGATCCACCACTTTCAATGTACCAGTGTGCAAGGACTTCGGTAGGGGACGATGCGTGCGTGGAGATTACGAGTGTCGTTACGCCCATCCTCCTGTGGGAATGGCGACGGAGCCGACGCCTGAGGGAGATGCGGTGACTGTGTGCAACGACTTTCTGAGGGAGAGGTGCACGAGAGGCCCAGCTTGTAGGTATTACCACCCACCGCCGCACATAAGGCAGGCCATCCCGGGAATCCCAGACAGGCCAGACAGAGGCGTGTCTGCGGCGATGGTGGCAGCCATACCTCCGCCGCCGGTAATGCCGCTAAATCTCGCCGGCATAGCTGGAGGCGGAGGAGGCATGAGGCCTGCCTTGGAGGTGTGCAGGGATTACCTGCGCAATTGTTGCACGCGGGACGCGTCCGACTGCAGGTTCGCTCACACGACACCGTCGACAGGTCAAGGAAACATGGTGACAGTGTGTCAGGACTTCTTGAAGGGCCGCTGCGAGAGAGACTCCTGTCGTTACTTCCATCCTCCAGAGCACCTTAAGCCTCGAATCCGCGATTTACCGCAGGGAGGTGGTATGCTGGGGGCAAACGCCATAGAAGCTCGGATCAATGCGGCGGCGTATCAGGCGGCGTATCAAGCTTATGCTGCCAGTTTGTTGGAGATGCAGCAGCAAGCGGCTAAACGGATTCGCCTGGAGGCAGAGGAATACGGCCCCGTGGCGGCGGGACTGCACGGGGTTGGAGCGTACGGGCTGCCACTCGATGGGAATAGGTTACGCAAGTCGCCCTTGGAGTCGTCGTACCCTTATGGGCATGGTGGGGTGTTTCCACCTCCTCCGCCGTCGCTCTCGTTGCTCAACGCTCACGGCATGGGAAACCCCGACCACGACAAGCTTCCCGTATGTCGTGATTTCCTGAAAGACAAATGTGTGAGGGGCTCGTCTTGTCGTTATGTGCATCCGGACGCGAACACTGCGGTGGTCGATAACTGTGTGACCGTTTGTCGGGATTCGCTGAAGGGGAGATGTCAGCGGGAAGTATGCCGGTTTTATCATCCCCCGGCAAAGCGGGAGGCGGCGTAATGGGGAGTTGTGGGTGGGTCGCGGGGGGAGGATGGGTATGAACTGGTGATGGTTTCTAGGCGCACAACAGCGCGGTGCAGACAAGCGATGTGGCGGCAATCAGTGTGAGCAATCCGAGCGGGAAAGCCCCGCACGAAGGAAACAGTAAAATGCGGCGGTGTGGGAGGCACAGTAGACAGGGTGGCAATCAGAAATAATCGCAGCGGCGGTTGACACGGGAGGAAGGGGGGGGGAGGAGGGGAGATGCGGGAAGGAGAAAAGAGACAGTCGGGAGTAGATGAGTTCGACTAGAGAAGAAGAGAGGGGGGGGGAGGAGAGCGGGGGAGGGGATTGATCGCATTGCATCATGACATAAATTATGGTAATCATGGTGGCGATGATGAGGATAACGATGGGAATGGAGAGACTGATGGGCGACGGCGAGCGGGAAGAAAGGTGAAGCAAGGGCGGGGAAACTGAAAAGCTTCGCTGATTTGAGAACGAAGGGGGGGGAGAGAGAGAGAGAGAGAGAGAGAGAGAGAGAGAGAGAGAGAGAGAGAGGAGGAAGACGACATTGGGAGGAGAGTTCGCTGACGAAATGACAGGTAAGCGTGTGCAGACTCTCCAAAGCATCTGCCGCCTGCGGCAGCAGTAGCAAGCTTTATCGCGAGAACAAAGCGCACGCTTGCAGCAGAGCAACTGAGCTGTGGATGGATGGATGGATGTGGATGGATGTCTGGCTGGCTGTCGCTGGCAGCTGATATTATTGGCGATGGAAGAGGATACAAATGGATGGATCAGATGAATCACAAGCAGGAAGATGGTGCGGAATTTGCGCGCTGTCTTTCCTCGACCTTACGATTGATAGTTTTGTACCATCTACTACCACCCAATTCCATCACAACCACCACCATTACCATATTACCAACAAGAAAGAGAAGAAAAGAAGATGAAACAAGAAGATGTAGAAGAGAAGAAGAAGAAGAAGATGATGACGCAGCAGCCGCGGCGGCGCACACGAGTGCCAAGCGAAGCAGCGGCAATTGGCAGCAGCACGGCGATTGAAAGGTAAAAGGCGAAGCGACGCACAGCCAGCTTCCGCTGAAGCATTCTATCGTGGAAACCCCAGCCAAGCGAGCAAGCCCAGCCAGCCACCCAGCCCGCCAGCGAGCGATTGAGCGAGCTAACGATTGTTGTGCTGATAGCGCGCGAGAGTATGCGGAGGACATGCCAAGTGTCATCGGCTCCTTCCTTTCCTGCTCCTACGTTGTGCGGTGGGCGCTGCTGATCTGATGATGATGTGACATTGTTCGTTTGGTTCTTTCTTGCTCGCTCTTGCTGTAACTAATCTGCTGCGAAGATGATCTTGCCGCCGCCGCCGCCACCCCCTCCTCCTCCCGCCTTTCGTTTGTGCCCTATTAAACGACACCGTCAGCGCTGAGAGAGCGAGCGAGCGAGCGAGCGAGCAAGCGAGCGAGCATGGAATCAGTCACTCTGCGACTCTTCTTCCTATGGCATGGCGTTCAAATGATTCGTCGGAGGTCTGGACTCTCTGTAAAAGCTTGAGCAGAAGCTGTCTGGCCGCTTCCGCTGCTGCCATCGCCGCTGTCCCCGCTTTTGTCGTCTGCAACGTGAACCATCATCGAACTGCCTGATTGCTCAGAGACTCTCCTTTTCGTTACCACCTGCCTTCTACTCTTGTCCCTCGAATAGAGCGCATATTCCGTCTTCCTGGCACGATGACAAACAGTGTTCCTTGGATCTGGACGGTGCATCCGTTCATCTATACTCGCTGCTGCAGGCAGGCAGGTGCCAGGCAGGCAGGCAGGCAGACAAATGTATACTACTGATAGACAGCCAGGGAGCAGGAGGCACGCGGGCAGCAGGAGGTGATCGGCAGGAGGCAAGCAGCAAGGCGTGGGGCGGTGGGCAGATGTTGCCAGTGTCCTCCGCTGGTGTTTTCACAATTTTCGAATTTACTTCCAAGTCGCGTGGGGGAGGGACTGATGTGCTGTTGTCGTTCTTTTACGTCCTTTTCGCGTCGGCCGGTGCAGCTGGGTGGGTGGGTGGGGGGTTTTGTTACAACCTTGAGGGTTTTCTTTTTCCGTTTTTGTTTTTTTTTCTTGCTTATTCCTATCTTTTTACCTCTTCCTTCTTACTCTTCTCTTTTTTTCCAAATGTGTGATTGACATGGAGAGAGAGAGAGAGAGAGAGAGAGAGATTTCACTGTTGCTTTCGACTTATGAAACAAATATCTCACATTTGCTTGCTTTCCAATCAATGTCTTCCCCCCGCTAGACGGGTATATAATGTGCGTAGTAGGTTGGAACTGCGGCGGTGGCGGCGGCGGTTTGCACTTGTGCAAGTTTGTTTTTTTGTTTGTTACGTGGCCGTTCTCTCTCTCTGCTCTTCTGCCTTCACGTTCCTCCCCCCTAGACTCATGACTACCCGCCCCACTCATGTGCGCTTTCTCCCCCCTCTCTTCTTCATGCTGTGTCATGTGTCTACAGAACGACCCTTCAGATTCCCGACCGAGAGTTGTGCTGTGCTGTCTGTACAGAACGGCTTTTGGATAAGCTGGCAGTTTTATGCGTTGCTCGCTTAGCGGGCTTTTCTTTCTGATTGCTTTAGGGTTCAGGGTTCAGAAGTGGCGGCGGCCGATGATTGAGAGCCTTCTCTAAAAACTTTTGGGATTTTAAAAATTCATTTTTTGTCACAAGATGTTGCTTATAATATTTTGTAGGTTCCTCCTGCTCCAGGTCTGTCTAATGCCTAATCCTCGTGAACACGTTTTTCGTTCCGCTCTGCTCGTTCGTTGTTATTAAGCCCCTCCCTCCCTTCCGAGGAGATCAGTATGCGGAACTAAAGCACGCTGTGGGAGTCTATCGGTGGAAGTGGCATTGTCTCTTCTGTCTCGTCTGTTGCGCGTTATGGAGGGATTCCGTGCGACTGGCGTAAGGAGAGGGAGGACTCGTGCTCGCTTCTCCTGCTGGGGGGGGTGGGGGCGGGGGGAGATGGACAGTGCGCCGCATTGCGTAGAACACAGGGTTGTAAAGCGTGTCTGACGTAAGGTCCCCCAAGCGGGGAAGAACATCTCTTGCCGCTTTTCCTTTCCCATCTTCTTGCCTGATCTGCACCTGCCCGGTCTGCGTTCCCCTGTAGTCCCCTCCCTGCCCTGTACCTGCCTCTGCCCTGTACTTGCCTGCCCTGTTCTTGCCTGGCTCATGCTTGCCTGCCCTGTGCTTGCTTGCTCCGTACTTGCTTTGCTCATATTTGACTCGCTTGTACTTGCCTGCTCGGTGCTTTCCTGCCTTCTACTTGCCTGCCTGACCTGCCTGTCGTTTGCAGTTTTGTGCAGTTTGCAGTTTTGTGCAGTTTTATTCTCTGTTTCTCTTTGTGTCCGTTTAGGGTAGCCGGCTCTGCGTCCGGTCCAGTTTTGGCGTTTTACTGATGTGAAAAGAGGAACAGCACACGGCAGACAGATAGTGGCCGCGAGTGCACCTCGACGCTGTCCCTTCCGTCTCAGCAGTGTCATGGTCTAACTCGCGAGTTGGACCAGGCTTTCCTGGACAGAAGTCGTTCTCTGCCCTATCTCTGCAGGGATCTGTTGTGGACTGCAGCTAATCAGGGTTATGTGCATCTGATATTCTGTTATGTCCGCAGGTCAAAACCGTTGGAACCTTTCCCTTTCCCTTTCCGTTTCCGTTTCCCTTTATGCGAGCGCCACGCGTTCATTCTGTCCTCACAGTGTTTCTCGCACCGCAGCTTAGCGAGGTGACCGCTTTTCTGAACCAATCGAGAGAGCTAAAGAGGGCCAGGGGCGCTTGCTGAACAGAGTGGCGGCTGTAAAGTGGTTCGTGCGATTTGTCGGTTATCTGGTTGGAAATCGAGTTTCTGCGTACTCGGCGGCTTTTCTTTCGGAGAGTAGCTGGCGGCGTGCCCTGCCTGTCCGACCCAGTCTCCGCTGCCTGCATGCTTGCCGCTTGGTCTCCATCTGTCTCTGCATTGCCCTTCCCAACGTCAGCTGCTCTGCGCGACCGTTACGTTGGAGCTTCTGTTTCTCCGCCTGCCTGCCTGCCTGCCTGCCTGCTTTAGTAGTCTCCGTGCCCGTTCAGCAGCGGTCTGGGAGTTTGCTGCTGTGGGTGGCTGTTTTGCTGCGCTTGAGTGCGTGCTGCTTTCAGTGGTTGTTGCTGTGCTTGCCTGTTTCTTTGCCTCGGACATAACGATGGCGCCGAACATGTTTGTTGATTCGCTTCGCTTCGCGTGTGCCTTCCTGTCCGCTGCTCTGCCTGGCAATCCCGTGTTTTTTGTCTACCCGTCCGCCACTAATCCGACATGTGTTTGGTACTCGGCTTGACCTCATCCTGCTCGCGCCTCCGGGGAGTCGGTCTCTCACATCTTTCGCGGAATCAGTCTCTCACATCTTTCGCTGGACTGCCTGCGTCGAGGGATTGGAGAAGTGGACGGAGGGGAGGGTATTGCGCCCGGTCAGCGATTGCAATCCAGAAGCTCGGCACTCCTGGCAGGCAGGGGTATATATAGTAAAATAGCTTGTGACGCCCTCATTCGTACTTCAAAGCTAAGGAGGCGTGTTCCCTAATGCCACGTTCGCTGTGCTGACGGGTGTACAGGGATGGTCACTTCGCTTTGACTCGGCGTAGGTAGGTAGTTTGCATTAGATGGGCGTTCATTTTTGTGAAATAGGTCAGGGGAAAAAACAACAGAGGCCAGCAAGCGAGGGCTTTGTGCGAGAACTGGAATTGAAGTCGTTGATGTGAGCAGTCTCCTTGTCGCGATGCGCGGACATACGCTTGCTCCACATCTGCTTATCGTAGATTCTTTCTCGATCTCTGCCTTCTCTTCGATGCGGTTCGCATATACAGTACTATTCACGTTTTCCCTTCAATGGCAGTGTCAATTTTGCGTGTCATGTGTGTGTTGCCTCGGCCTCTCTCTCTTGCCGGCTGTCTAGCTGTCTGTCTGCATTGCATTCCTGTGTATCGAGTTTGTGCGTGTGTGTGTGTGTGTGTGTGTGTGTGTGTGTGCAGGGCTGCTGGGGTGCAGCAGATGTGGTTGGTGCTCGTTTGTGCAATGTGTGTCTTGTTTGCTTCACTTCGCTCTGCTTTAGATCCCAGATAACCGTTAGTCGATTTTGTGCGTCTCACGTCGGAGCGAATTGAATGGTGCTCCTGCTTTGCCCCTGTGAGGGGCGAATTGCATGTTGCTGCTTTGCTCTTATGTCGCTTAACGCTCGCTTTACCCGCCACGAATGCTGGCAGTAATATCTCGCCTTGCTCGAATGGGAACGCGCAGTGATAATTACAACTGCCACGATGGGTTGGAGGTAGCACTGGGAGGTGGTATTGCGTTGCGTTGCAGAGTATTTGGTTGTATGATCTGAAGCGAAGCTCGCAGCTAAAGCAATGTGAAAGAAATGGATGTGACGCAAGCAGAAGCGAGCAACAATGTTTTGACTAAGTCAATCGATCACAGAAAATGTGAATAAAATGAATAACTTCATTGCGTCGGTGATGGATGCATTTATCCGTTCTAAGAACCGGTGCATCGATGGCTGCTTGTGCATTGACCCCCCTCTCTATTGCTCTCTCTCAATTCTTTTTTGCATAATCCGCTCCTTTCATCATCGATCTCTAATCAGTCGATAATCCATCCGTCCATCCATCCATCGATAATGGCTCCTTTCATCGTCGACCTATAATCAGTCAATAATCCATCCATCCATCCGTCCATCCATCAGTCAATCAATAATCAACAATCCATCCATCCATCAATCAATCAATCAATAACCAATCAATCAATTAATCAATAACCAATGAATCGATAACCAATTAAACAATTAATCAGTATTAGTCAATCAATCAATCAAAATTAATCAATTTATCAATCGTTTAATCAATCGGTTAATTAATCAATCGTTTAATTAAGCAATATTTAATCAACCAATCAACGGATAATCCATCCATCCATCCGTCCGTCCATCCATCCATTATTCAATCAATCAATCAATCAATCAATAATCAATCGATCAATAATAAATCGGTCAATTATGCATCAATCAATGGCGAAATTAACTGTCAAGAACTGTTTAATCAATCAATCAATCAACGGGTAATCATCCATCCATTATTCACTCAATCAATTAATCAATCAATAACCAATCAATCAATAATCAATCAGTCAATTATCAATTGGTCAATAATCAATCAATCAGTCAGTCGCAAAACTAACTTTCAAGAACCCTGATCACCCAATCATCGAAACAATCAACCAGTCGATCATTTAAACAATTAGTCGATTTAAATTTCTATTAATAAACAGCTGTTCCCAAGATTGCACCATGTCCACACTGGTCGGTGCAGCTCCCGCATGTTCCCTCGTTGGAGGCTTGAGCACGGATGTGGCTGCTACGGGGTTCCCCGTAATATTATAATGACAATAAAAAAGGCCTGAAAGGCCGTCCGTTCCAGATTCGACAGGTAATTGAATTGGCTGGGCTTAAAGAATTAACCTTAAAAAAACAATTAATTAAAAAAAAACTTTTCCGAGAAAGTGTACCGGATGGATGAGGATTTCGGGTGAATTTTGCTGATGTGACAGTTCTCCAGTGAAATTGCTGATGTGTAGAATTAATTTCAGTTTGAATTAAATTAATCAGTAACCTAGGCTACCAGCCGGGCCGCCCGGGTCACCCTATTTTCCCGGGTGGCCCGGCCGGGAAAGGACCAGGGTAGGTCCCAGCCAAAAAATAAAGAAATAAAAAAAATCCAAGAAATCTAGGCTACCAGCCGGGCCGCCCGGGTCCCGGGAGGCCAGCCCGTGC